CACTGTAGAAGGTAATCCAGATGTGGACAAAACACAAGCCGCAACACCTGATGAACACGGTTTGAAGTCCAATGAGAATGAGACGCAAGCAGAGGTGGGTGAAAATTTCTGGGCTCCAACTGACGATGAGAGGGTTGAGGAAACGATGGATGTTACCCAAGACAAGTGTCAAGACAGCGAAGAATCTCAATCCGACATGGTCAGCGAGTCATCACGACATGAAGTCCATTCTCGGTTGCAATTGAGCTGTGAAGATTTAACAAGCACAGCTGAAACAAATGAGGTTTCAATTCAAGCTCTTGAAGCTCATCACATTCCCACTGAGTCTTGTGATTCCAGCCCTAATATTTCCGCCCCTGCTAGCGATATCAGTACAAATAGCAATGACGCGGTAGAAGCTGTACACCCTGTAACGACAGATTCTCAGTCCTCTACTAGTGATACGGACGTACACTCAGTCGAATCAGGCCCGGAGGTCTCTGCTCGATCACCGGAAAGTGCTGGAGATACTGACGCCCAGAAGTATCTTTCGAAGGAAAGTACAAGGACAGCTCAAGAAGAGCGCCTACGAGCTTATGATGCGTACCTTGCGGATCCGTCACTCTCCCCCAGCTTGAAAAACCAGGTCCTTCGAGCCCGGAAAATCGCCCTGATGAGGCTTAACCTGGAATAGTCTCGAACAAGTGGTGATCCTTGATTGAGTGTCGAGGATGTAGGCTTAAGCGTGAGAAGCAAGGAAGAGGAGCAGTAACCTAGTTGCATTAAGTCCTGAAGAGTGGATGATGTATATATCGCCACTTAGAACCCTGGATGACATTCACAGCAAGAGGTATAACCATCTACTGAAGTTTTTCTCTAGCTGAACGCAGTGTAGATGGGAATGGGTATTAGATTTGTCAAATAGAACTCTCTGCTTTCTAAAGTTTATTTCTTCTTAGCAGGTGGGGATTGAATCTGTATACAGTGGATGATTCAGAGTTGCAGCATTTACAGTGTGCTGCTATGGAGTCACGTGTGAGGAAGACATGCGATTGCTGCCTCATCCTGCTGCTTCCATGGCGACACAAAGTGGAAGCGGAGGCATTGCTATTGCGAGTTACTGCCTGATCCCGGACGCACAAGTGATGGCAGTATATATAGCTACGTGATTGTGAAGCTTCTTGTATTCCCTGTTTTTATTTTGTTTTTTTGTTTATGTGCACTTAAATGTGAGGATGTACATTATGCTCATTCTATGTGTTTGTAAGACTCGCTTTAGACATTGACTTGCGGAATTAAGGACAATCCAAAACTTCAATTCGAGTTTTGTACTTTTTGGCAAAGGACGAGAGGTAGTAAGCTGTGGACAAAACTTTAAACGTTATCGTAGAAATGTCTTAATGACTTGAGCCATCTTCTCAGGAATTGTTTTTATAAACGATCAGCGAAACAATATGATTTTCAACTATTATTCAGTTTCATGTCAAAATTTTCGTCTTCATTTCTCTTGACCTATGATTGCTTTTGCTTAATATATCGTCCCAACAGGTAATTGCCAAATTTGAATTAATTAAGCTGTTTTTTTTTTTTTTTTTTTTTTTTTTTCACTATCCGTGAACAGAACTTGTTTGTATGATGTAACTAAAGCTTTGACTCGACATAATTTTTCATCCAATATTCACGTTGAATACCAGGTTGAAAATGAGAAAAAGATTTAAAGATGATACTAATTTTTAGAATAAAAAATCAAGCGTGAATGAATACTTGGGACATTTGATTGTACACTTTCGCAACAGGGAGTTACCATATCAACCCACAGCTCCTTGTGTAACATACTCTCCCTAGCGCAGCTTCTGCCTGTAGCAGAGAAAAATGTTACATTTGATACATAATAAATAAAAGTACGTAATTTCTCCCTTGCTACAACTTCTTGAACGCTTGCACAGGTTATCTCAACCAAGGATCCATAATGGCTATTCAAGACTTTAGGTTGCCACTGCTAATTTACTTTGTGGAAATTCTGGATCTGTAGTGCAAGGAATCCGGACTGATATGCCATCTGGTAGAACCATCTCCATGCGTTGCTAGGCTCACGTAGTTATAGCTGAACCTGGCCGCTGTAACTGACTTAATCCTTGGGACATTTGGACGATGACCATGTCATTTACAATGTGATGTACAGCACACTCGCAAATACTTCGTAGAGGGGTAAATGGCACAAAGCCACGTCTTCAGAAATATGGCAATGAAAAAGAAATGCGATCAAATCCTACACAGAATCCTGTAAATAAGAGCCATGCGGTTCCACTAACCCTGTGCCTTTCGGAACTTGACCCAGAAAAGAATTGTATTAGCAAACCTAACCAGTCAATAAATACGCCCTCAAACTGGAGATGCTAAATGCAGCTCGATGGGAAAATGAATGGGCTCCACATAGAAATGTACACCCAACTCGAAATGTTGAGAACACGCTGGTACTTTACTCCAGAGGTCTGTTCGAATGTCGTACACTAGAATCAAACTCACACCTGCAGAGATGCAAATACGAGTACCATGTCCAACACAAACAATGGTACTCGCATTTGCATCGTCATTCTGGAACCATTCGTCGCGTAAATCTTCGAGCAATTCCTCGGATAAACTCGTGACCTCCCTCCACTCTTTCGGATGTAGTTGGGCTCTAGTTGGATCCTCACTTTCATGCCAATCTCTTGGAACGGATCCAACAGGAGCATCTGTATTCGAGTCCTCGAGCTTGAGGATGTACACGCATGTAACTACTCCCCCAAATCCACGCGCAAGGACCATGTAAATGGAACCGCCACACTCCACCACTTGAGTCAACTGGTAATCGCCACGGTCGTCTAGCGGGACCTTGTGTAGCACTTTCTGCCATGTCTCAGCTTCGATGTCATAGGCCACCACACCGATCTGGCCGCACTGGTAGATTGCCTCACAGTACACGGAGCCCCAACATACAGCCGCCGTTGGGCCATAAGAGAATACATTTGCTGGATGATGGGCATCGACGGCCATCCAAGATTTTGTACTTGATTCGTAAATTGCGATACTTGGAAACGAGTCTGTGACAAAGGTATACCGAATCTTTCCAACAATGATCACTTTGTAGGATCTTGTGGACTGGTCTGTTAAAATGTGCACAGAGACTGATGATGGCCATTTGTATGTGATTGGTGGCAGCTCCACACATGTTCGCGCCACAGGATTGCATAGGAACAGGCTTGAAGCCCCTCTGAAACATATAAATCCTCCAGCACCAGCAACAGGCGCCCTCGCTTCACGAGGTAAGAAGTCAAGTGGTGGCAACTTTTGCCATTTCTCGGTCATGTGATCGTACCCAAAGAACACGCTAAATAAATCATTTCCTCCTTGCTCATCGTTCCCCGATGTACAACTCCCAGAATCTCCCCTGTAGAATTTGCGTGATATTATAGCTGGAAAATAGGGTTCGTACTGACCATTGCACAGGTTTAGAAACTCAGGAGTTGAAGTTAGCGAATTCCATTGCTTGCAAACCGTGCGAGCCCGGAAGAGCTGAGGCACCGGTAGTCGAGCCAACACTCTAACTACAATATCACCAGGTAGTCTGTTCCATGAATTCGAATCTGAACTGGCTTCGTCTGGCTCAAGTCCACCAATGGTTCCCATGATGAATGTCCTAGTCAAGAAATGATTCTCCTTCAGAACTGTTGATATCTACTTACAGGCTCAGTTAATTCAAGCTAGGATCCGCATAGATCCCATCCAGACGTCTTCGGGAGAACCCTGTACAGACAAAAACGATGTGCTCAAAACCTAGTCTGAGACAGATCAATCAGCTCAGGTTCCAACTGAAATTTGATCAAACCTCAGCTAAGGCAACACAAGCTTCAAAATAACAACCTCCAACCAGTGATTTTGAGGACTAGCGTAGCTACACGAACTCTCTTCATAATATCAATACTCAATCAGAAAATACAAGTGTGATTGAACTACCCTAGCTACATCCATAATTCTTCGCCTGACAATACGTCTAGAACCCCAGAATGTTGACGGCGGAATTTGCAGTTCCACAACTACATTAATTGGTGATTATATACACTTCTAAAAGTCCTTTACGCAATTAGGGCAGATTCGAATAATACCAAACCAGCCCAAAGTCGGAGCTCAACAAGAACACCTAAAAGTGAGAATAGTTCGATCTTCTCCAAAAACCTTATAATACTGTCATAATTGCTCCAGAAGATAGGCCACACAAATCAAATGTACAGAAACTCACAAAGATTAAGACAACCTTCACAAAAACACCCTCAATTGTTTGTTTCAGATTCTTACACTAAAATTTGCTCATCGAATACTGTAGAGAAAACTTGACATCGAGCGCAAGCAACCTAAAAATAAGATCCCTCAGAAAGGCCTACAATATTTACGACATCGCCAAGCGAAGGAGGAGTTTAAAGGCTACAAGGGCGACTGGACCAATACGGTTCCAGAAATCGGTTATTCAAGCAACAATGAACAAGAACACCTCTTTCTAGACACGCATTTCTGCTTCATAACACACAAGGATTTCATTCTTGACACTCGAGAAAGACGATAATAACCCAGCTCTTTCGAGCACGATGAACAAACAAAAGTTGAATTCTAAACACCTAAAATTAAACACATGATTGAAGGCATTAGATGTTACCTCCCTCACAACAGTCACTCACCTGTACTAAAGACACCACGACCTTTATGCACACCCTGATCGCAATAAAACGTGTTGCCGGAGCGTCGAATTCCCACCAAAGAAAACCACGAGCTACCAATACAGTCCAAAACTACCTTCAATGCATCCAAGAAACATTAACCACTAATAAATTCTGCCTACCCAATAGAGCTCAAGCTCGCTATATACAGCACTACCTCGCATCGACGGAGCTTGTTCTCGAACCAGACTCCACAACCAGGGGAATACATGCAAACCCACTAGATTATCGTGGAGACAAGTGAGTTACGCTGAATGGTTCGGAGAGATCTAGGGTTTTCTCGGGAGAAGGCCAGGTGTTACAACAGGATTACAAAATAAAAACTTTGTGGTTCGGCATCTGGCATCCACGCTCTGGCACTTGCTGACTACCGCATGACTTACATGTTTTACGCAATTCTTTTTTATGGCTAGATTCTGGAGGTCAGTTACACATTTCGGATGCACCAGAGACAGTTTTTCGCTGGGTTTGTGGGCCCCATCTTCTGTCGCTTCTGTAAACAGAAGCTGCGTTCAGGACAGGATTCTGCACGGTTTGTTGCTTAACCGTGTACACACCGTATACCCTGTGGGTAAATTTGAAAAGTTTTTCAAGTCATTCGCAAGTACCTGAATTTTCGGGATTCTTCTTTACCCGGAACAGTTACCTATGCTGACTGCGGTTATCGTATGCCAGTGATAACTCCTTACACAAGAAAATCCGCCCACGATGAAGAGTCTAGGAATTGAACACCAACTACTTGCTGTTCGAAGAAAGCTGCTTACACAAGTGCACACAATACAAACGAGGACGTGACACTCTAGTCTGGCTTCCTGTCGAAGTTTGTACAAAAGTAAAAATACAGAAGTTCATAGAAGCTGAACTTTTGAAATACGTGGTTTTGATCGCTTAGCCACAGCTTCGGCGCAACCTCTGGGATGCGGAAACGAGAGGCACAGCCTCTGGAACAGGGAACACTATCATCACCATTCACAATCGAGTCAGCAGCCTTTGAAAGTAGAGTTACTAACAGCTTACAAAACCTGTTGCATTGACGTTGAGGTTGTGAAACCAAATCTCTGCTGTGAATGAAGGAACGATTGCAATGTCCAGGTAGGGTCCTCCCAAGTAATCCAATCGATTTATATCGGTAGAGAGGAACCCAAAATCAAACAGGTTGCTCATTTTTCGGCTTCAACCCTCTTGGCATCACAAAGAATGCCATGAATTTTCTATCTGTTCAAAACTATTAGACAAGAATTCCGAAGAGGTCTTATTATTAGAAACTGCAGAGCCTTGCAGCAACCAAATATGGTGAGTTTCGAAGTGTTCTTGACCATTCTCAACTATGGAAATCAAGCCTCCTCTATTTTCTCTACAATCATATACATTGTAATCGAGAGTGGAGCACATTAAAACCAATTTGATCAAATGTACAGGAGAATTATTGCTTGAAAACCGACTGGAGTACGTGAAAGAGCAGAAAGTGCTCTGATTCACCACCCCGAACAGTCTGGCGCATTCGCTCGACAAACTGGTCAAGACACCCTCGATGAACCATCCTTATGATTCTGTCTACTTGATGAACTCATCAGTGACTTTGCTACGAAGTTCATCAGCCAGCCCTCATTGAGCTGTCTCATCCTTTCCGCTGAGCAAACATGAGGCATAAGCCACACCACAGAATAAACGCTTCCCCTCTACTAGGGCTCCTATCATCTTATTACGAAACAAAAAGCTACATCACTCAATAATGAGTAAGAGCAGAAGAGCGAGTGATGCTGAAACAATGATTAAAGCATGTGTTATTTTGGATCAGAAGTTTTAAACACAATCTCTTTGCTCATCTTGTGCCTCGACAACCAATAATTTATTTTCACAACCCTGTACTCCTTAATCCTTTCTAGTCTTCAAGAATGGCAATAAAACCTGTGAGATGCCACAATCGTTAAGATGACTTCAACAAGAAAAACTGCCGTCCCTACAATGCAAACGATCAAATGTACAATAACGAAAATACACTACACTCCAAAGATGTTGAAAAAGATACGATATCATTAGATTCTTATGTCAAGGAAAATACAAGATTTATTTTCGAAGGAGAAATGTAGCTAAGTCTGGACGTCGAGATGCAAAACGAGATAAAAACGGCTACACAAGACCTCAACAGGGATAACCCCGCAAAGTAATACTTCTAAACATCCCGAAAGGAGGAGAAACAACTAAGGCGGACAGTAACATGTCCAGAAGAAGAGTTGGAAATGCATCACCAACAAAGAACTAAGCCAAGTGAATGCTGGAGTAAGGACGAGGCGTATAGTCACCACGAAGTGGAGAGAAGATTAAGAACTTTGAATTACGCGGTGATTGCTGCCCGAAATCGGCAACCATTTCGTCCTCAACGGGTCTCGATGACATCAACTCCGTCAGGAAAATTTCCACAGGAACGCTTCACTCATAATCCACGTCAACGTACTTCAACCCTAGCAGCGGTATTGAAATAAAAATGAACACCTAAACGGATTCAAAACAAAAATGGCAGCGTCTCCATTAACAACACTGACTGCAAGCGTCTCAACTCTCGATCGAATCTCATCCTAACTACAATTAGCAACAGAATCCGGAAAAGAGACACAAGATTGACGGGGACAGGTTCGCAGCAACACAGTCAAGACATCGATCTTCACCGCCACGCACAAGCTGTGCTCCCACCACGACCCTCCACAACTTCACGTAACGGAGCACTCATTTGCATTCAACACCTCTGGAGCGAGCACATCTCTGCTTCTCCGGCCCGCGCCATATCGAAAAACCACAACAATCTCCAAATATCTCACCAGCGCGAACAAAACATTCCAATTTCCAGCTTCGAAATTAAAATTTTACGGATCCCAGCACAAGTTTCACTTCTCTGTTTCCCATCTCTGTGTCGGGTCTTCGCTTTGCTGCCGTCTTTGTGCCTTCGTCTTCGTGCTCATACGAGTCGGCGACCTCAACTTTGGACTTTAATTTGAAGACCTTGTCCATCTTTGTACTTGTTTCAGTAGGGGACTTCGACGACTGTCTTCGACTTGAAGATCCGGTCTTAGCAACGTAGTAGTGGGGTCTTAGGGTGTGGCAGCAAATAGTTTTCACAAATATATTCAAGCCAAGCTCTACTTCAATCAAAAACTATTCTAACCTTCTTTCACAGCAACTCATTGTTTGAATTGTAATTTTGTAGTTGAGAAATGCAATAAACTCTAACTAAAAATAAAAATATATTTTATGTTGAATTCCAAAAACATTCTTCAGCATATGAGGTTTTCTTTTTCTAATTTCTTTTTCCTCATTTTGAAAAGGAGAACAATAGTTCTATGCTTGCTTTTATTATACAACATAGGTATTTCACAACAAGGATTTGAATGCCAACTTTTTGGTGCAGTATATGACAACTTCTGATATTTTTAAGCTATTTCAATTTTTGGATTTTTTTTGTGTAATTGTTTCAATGTCTACAAATTAAACATATCCTATCATTTATCAATTAAAAAAAAATATATATGTGGTGAAATAATTTCTTTAACTTATGAGTACTATCTACTTATTGAATTTAATACTAAATTAATGTTTACACACTACTATAAAATTTATTCATTAGTTTATCAAAAAAATTAAAGTAATTAAAGTTGATATAAAAACATCCTATAAACATAATTGGGATTGAATTTACAAATTTTTTAATTACCTAGTATTTTAAAAGCATGGATCAAAATTAAATTCTTTCATTTGATGTCTTCTCTTACAAAACACCTTTGTTAAAATCCAATACAAGGGACATTTATAAATTAAGATTTTAACCTTTTCTAAAAGTAAGTTATGAAAGAATCATACTGATCACACAAGATCAGTTCATGCGCTTTTGTCAAATAATAAGGAAATCCATCCGAACTGATGAAAAGTAAAAGATTCGTGTTGTAATTTATTGATTTCAAAAATCAATTCATTAAACTACGTATTTTGGGTTGGATGGCTTTATTTGTTACAGCAATAATCTCCCTATAATTAAAAAAATCAGTAATTTATGATGTTTCGTGTAATTAATAAAAACTACTTTACTGGGATGTTTTCTTAAAACTAACCTTAATTTTTAAAATGTTACAGATTCTATAATTACAAAATGAGTGGTTTTATTTTTTTTTCAACACAAATGTTGTGAACTGTAGATACATCAGATCTATTATGAAATTTAATTTCATGAACACTACAGGCATTTTTTTTTGGGAAGAATCACATACAATAAATACTTTCAAAAGCAACATCAAGTTTTATACTTTCAAAAGCAACATCAAAAGCAACATCAAACTAAATTATCAGACCAAATTAAAAAAATAAAAATAAAATAAATTCTAAGTTAAAAGTATAAGAAAGAAAAATAATATGCTATAAAAAGACATCATTAACAATTAGAAACAAAATAAAAAATTTGGTGCATCAAAAGAAAATTCTTGGGGTGTTTATTTATACAATATATTTCTACAGTTGTTATAAATATAATTTAATACACCTTAACCATGAATATTATATACTTTTAAATACTATTATATCTTATTATATTTAAAAGGTCAATAATTGCTATATATGTATATATATATATATATATATATATACATATATAATAGAACATTGTTGATTTGTGATGGCAAAGCTAATCTATATAGGTAATAGATTATAACATAATACAATCTAATATGTTATAATTATAATCTATATGGGAGTAGATAGTATCATCCTTCCTACCCAGCTTCATCACGAGAGTACACTCAGCTAAATATGTTATTGATGATATGAACACATAATGCATATTGAATATGTGATATTGTAACAATAATATATAATATAACATAACATAATGTAAGATGACTCTAATTAACAAGCCATACTAGTGTATATATATATATATATATATATAATGTTTTTCATTTAAAAGTGTTATTGCCAAAAAGCATCTATTTTAGTTGTAATAAAAGTAATTTACATATTTAACTATATAAAAAAATCATAATTACCTATGTAACATTATTCAATTTATAAAACGTTTATATTTTTCAATATGTTGCCAATACAAAGTTGATAGTCCATCTTTCAACTTGTGACGTGACTTGAAGTGCTGTGAGAAGTACTATTTGCAAAAGGTTTTTAAGTCGAATATAAAAGAAACTACATAAACAATTAATTTATAAGCAGTATTCAAATTTTAATGTAATAAATCATTATTAATTTTTAGAATTTATATACCACTTTAACTCTTATAAAATAATTGCTATATTTTAATATCTGTATGTTTATTATTTATATTGTTAGTAAATTAGTGTCTAATAAGAACAAGTTTGTAAGTGTCTATTAAAAATATCAACTTAAATTTCTGTTTTAGATATTTTTTAATATAACATATTATGGTAGTATAATATTTGAATTATTAGATTTTTTGAATATAAACAAATGTTCTAACTGAGGTATTGTTAATGTCACAATAAATTTTGTTATTGTCACCACAACCTATTATTGTCATTAGTTTTTAATATTATTTTTATTAAAATTAAAATCACTCTCTACAAAATTTGAAAAAATGAAATCATGTTGGAACCATTAACAAAAAAATTGATTGGAACAAAAAAATACAAAAAATATGTTGAGTAGATAGTAGATAATAATAATAATAATAGCAAAAATTGTGATGGCATTAGGAATATTTCTAAAAATAAATATTTGGGCTAAGATTTCAATATATATATATATATATACACATAATAGTATAAACTATTATCTTTATTTATTTATTTATTTATATTACATACATACATACATACATATATATATATATATACAAATAAAGAAAATATTCATCCAAACATCTCTCATTTTCAAAAAAATCATGCAGTAATTGAAATTTATAAAACATCATATTAATTATTTATCTGTGACTTCATTTTTATTTCTACCTACTTGATTAATTAATTAATTTTTTAAAGCTTATTATGTATGTAATCATTTTTTTAAAACATATAATAATCTTTTTTTCAATAGAAAATCTATGAAAAGCGGATCTAGTGAACATATTAGTAGTATACCTGTCTTTTAAATGTGATAAAAAATAATAATAATCTTGCTCTGAAATCTTATTTATTTAATCTTTTATAATTTACATTAAATAACATGACAACTATGAACTCAAATACTTTCAAATTGACCATTAAGGTGGTAAAAGAAATCCACATCTTCAAAAATTATATCTAGATGAGATGTGAAGTTTATTTTGTTCGTGTGTCAAAGTATATGTATATAAATAAATAAATAAATAAATAAATAAATAAATATTTTCTTCCCAAAATAAGGAAAACTTCAACACTTAAAAACACCAATCAAGGGAGACCGTAGTTCCAACTCATCCAAGCCGACCCTTCCACGAGCTTGTGCCAAGAGTCGATTCTAGAATGCCTCGAAATCTAGGAAAAGGGCTGGAGTCGCAGCAAAGAGCGATTGGTAGATATCACATGTGGTAAGGGGAGTATCATACTAGGGCGGGTCGTTTCTGGGCATGCCCTGCCAGGGGGGTTAGGCGTATGTAAGCATTCGGGTGATGCGGAGGTGGATATCTAGCCAAAGGGAAGAATTTTAAGTTGCAGCGGGCAGGGTTGGGGGGCGGGGGCGGGGAGAGTGAGCGAGGGAGGGAAGGGAGAGTGGGAAGAAGGGGGGGAAAGGAAGGAGAGAGAGGCACCTGCTTCAGGAGGAACAGGCTTCCCCGCCATAGCGGAGGGTACACTTTCTACGGATGTCTGCGATGATTCGGAAGACCAGGAAACAACGCCAAATTATTCGAGCGCGGGTGGTTTCGATGTGGAGCACATAAACAGCTCCCGGATTGTGTGTGTGTTAGCTGTAGGTTTTTTGGAGCGTGAGCGGACGTCGGGGCGAGAGAGGCTTTGTGTGTGTGTGTGTGTGTGTGTGTGAGCGTTTGACCAGACAGACCTGAAAATCATGGGCGCATGAATGTCATTCCGGGTTACGGGGTGTGTGTCGCCTTCAGGCGCTTGTGTCGGCCGGAGTGTGGAAGATAGGGTGTGATTCATGGAGATAAGGTTTGAGGTCGTGATACGGAGGTAGAAGAGTGTCGAGGTAAAACGAGACGAGTTTTGTAAGTGGCGCGTGCGTTGGACAGGGGGGTGATACATTTATATCTATATGTATATATATATGTATTAAAGCAGGCAGCGAAGGGGATTGGAAGAGGAGGAGGAAGAGGCAGAGGGTGGTGCGGACTGGTTCGGCGATGGCGAAGTCCAAAGCTGCTAAGAAATCTCTAGACTCGTATACTGTGAAAGGCACTAACAAAGTCGTGAAAGGTGAGTGAAGGAATTTTAAAAGGACTCTTTCCATGTTTTGATCCTGATTGCTTGCAAATAGACCTGGAATCACCTCCGGTGCATTGCCCTTGAGACCTGTGAACGTCAACATTGTTACTTCTCTTCATTTTATGACGCAAAGGCACAAGTTGCTAAAAAAAAAGTTCATTAACAACTTTCTTCTTTTCTCATGCCACTGATTGCTTTGAGCTATAGTAGCAATATGCAATGTTGTTTTAGCATTTAGTGAGCGAAAAATGCTGGACTTCGATGCTGCGGAAGAGAGCACTGGGTATGATGTCATGCATTAATATTTTTCGATCACGTTCTCTTTTTTAGAAGAACTTTTTGCCTCCTTAAATTCGGAGAAGTAAATGACTAGATGGACCATCAGATCCTTCATGTAGATTGCTAGCTTTCTGCATTTTATAATCACTGACCAACTGTAGCTTTTTAAGCTAGTTTTCGAGTTCGTAATGATTTAGTACTGGTTTCGACAATCTTCAACAAGAAGACCTGCTGGAGTACTGTTTCTTGCCGCTCTTCTTTTGAGTTTTTATTTTTAGAATCCTTCAGTATATCAAAGTTGAACCACTCTTGATTTTTGTGTCCAGAACGTGTTAGATCATGCCCAGAACTGCTGACAGGTTACGCACTCCTGGGTTGTAGAACTATAACAATACGTACTGAAACTCCTGCTGGTCCCACGCTATTCTTCCTATCAGGAAAACACAGGGGTTTGGGCGTTGAACTCCTAAACAGTGACTTATTGTGAACAATCTTATTAGAATCATAAATATCTGGTTTCAATATTCTTTGCTGGCTTGTAAGTGATATATCCTCTCCTGCTAGAAAGCGATTAATGCTTTTCTAATAAGGATTTTCTCACAAAAGCTTTCTTTACTGAAGGGAATGACCTCGAACTGCTTTGGAATTATGATGGATACAGTGGGAGATACCGTCTTAATGCGTGGACAAGATCCAGAGAAACCACCTTATGTTGCGAAGATAGAGAAAATCGAAGCTGACGGTAGAAATAACAGCAACGTGAAGGTCCGTTGTCGATGGTATTATCGACCGGAAGAATCAATGGGAGGCAGGAGACAATTTCACGGAACGAAGGAGCTCTTTCTTTCCGATCATTATGATATACAAAGCGCGGATACCATAGAGGGAAAATGCACTGTGCACACGTTTAAAAATTACACAAAGTTGGAAAGTGTTGGTGCAGAAGACTATTTCTGCCGGTTCGAATATAAAGCATCAACTGGCGGGTTCACTCCTGATCGAGTTGCTGTGTAAGCAATTCCTTTTCGTTCATTTGAGTCTGTTGAAAGTGGGAATCACGTCCGTTTTCTTTTCTTAAGAGTTCCTACTCACAACCTAAACCTACCTCTATATTGTGCATTTCTGCTACCAGCTTCCACAGACCAGCAAACTTTTGCCTTTTTACTGTTAGGTTTTGCAGAGTAAACGTGTTATATATATATATATATATATATATATATATATATCATCTTATCATGTGTGTGTTTGTGTTTGTTCCGCATTACTGAACATCACCATCGACTCCGCTGTTTGCAGTTATTGCAAGTGCGAGATGCCTTACAATCCTGATGACTTGATGGTTCAATGTGAAATCTGCAAAGACTGGTAGGCCTATGCTTCTCTGTTCAACTGCGACAAAGTGCATTTCTTTGTATTTGCCCGGATATTTGCAAGAGGACGGTTTCTTGAGTGAGGAGCTTGCACCTTTAATTGTTCTACCTAGCACTAGTTATATTTAACTGAGTGTCATGATTTGTCATCTTCAATCCATCTTCGTAAACTTCAGTGTTTAGAGTGTGCATGCCACAAATGGGCTGAAATTCGTGTATGTTGCTGCACATAGGTTCCACCCATCGTGCATGAGTATGACACCGGATCAGGTGAAGAAAATGGAAAAGTTTTTCTGCCCTGATTGTATTTCTCAATCCGGAGAGAAGAAGGTGCGGCAATCGTCTCCTAGGAGTTCACCTGCTACTGACCATGTCAAGGTATATATTCTCTGCATTATTTTGATGTTGCTGGCATTACCTTATGGCCCAAGCTTGCTGGCATTATTTAGTGTATTCTGCTGAAAATTCATGGGAGTTGCTACTTCCTTATTCAAATGAGATGTTTTTCTGCGTGTTATAATCCGTTGGAAATCTACTAGTTGATTGAATGCTGCAGACTGGCATTTTCAATATTCATATGACACGATAGACATGATGTCAGTTAATAACTCTGATTTTTAAGCTACCTGGCCATTTTAAATTGGTATTGAGACTAAAGGATTTTGGCATTCAAGTTGGGACTCTGTTTCTTTTTTCTCTCATCTGGCTTAGCTGTTGCTTATCGTGCCCATACCTTCATGATCTGAACATTTTTCAACTTCAAATGCAGCCTGATGCAAAGCGGCGGAAGAGATGATTGAGGATCCTACTTTCAAGTGGCTTGGGCTGGGCTTTCACTCGGTGCTACCGCACATTTTGTGTACAAGATATGCTCTGAAGGAGATGACATAGTACTCAGGTTAGATTCTGGGAAAAAGAAATGTGTAGGACAGCAATGTATGCACAAGGCGTTGGCTTTAAAATTTTGTGGTGAGGGCCGTGCATTGCACAACCTTGCAGTCTGACACTGGAAAAAGTTGTGGCAGGGCTCCTGCTACGTGTATCTGTTGGTTTCTTATTTACCCCATGTGGTTCAACTTATAGTTTCATTCCTCTCTCCACATCCTTAATGAGACTCCACAAACTCCTCTTGGACATACCTTTTCTTGAATAGAAGTCAAATGGACCATTTGCTTGGGGCTGGAAATTCCAAGTTGGATTGTAATGTGCACCAATTTCTAACATGTTAAGATAGAGGATTCTTTCACGACACTAGACCGCGCAGCTAGGAAGAAGAATTGAGATCATGCAATGTTTTTAGTGATTCTAGACTAGTGCTAACTCAGTGTTTGAAGTAGATGACCTCTTAAAGATTGGACATGTGATAGTGAGTTTGAGGACGAAGTAAAACATCATTGAATTTGGCTACCGGGATTTTTTTTTGCACAAAACATGAGTTTTCATGTAATCTAATATTCCTTCTGTGACGTAAACAAATGTTTAGTTGAAAAGGATGGATTTCGTAACTAGTCTCATAAAGTGGACGCGAAGATTAGTGTGCCTAATCAAGAATATGATTATTGTTGAATGGCCTCAATCATGACGAGGATTGCGAGTCAATTTTAAACACATCCTTGTTCACTAGCGTCGTTACGCCCTGTAGACCCATTGATCACAAATTCAACTTCTGTGAAGTTTTGTAGACATCAGTCTATTCTTCAACCTGCAATGTTTCACATTTCATAGAATCAAGGGAGTTTATCGATAGCTTTACATGGTGCGTTCTGCATCTTTACATTTAGTCAACGAATATCCCTCAAGTCTTGTGGTCCAATACAATGGCTAGAGTACTTGCAGGTTTTGATGGAATCTGCGAAGTGGTGCTCAGCACGGAACGTGGTGAGAAGATGCTGCGCAAACGAAATCAATCTGCAGGTAGGCATGGTAGGTGTTGTCGTCAGATGCCGCCTGTTCTATCACTGATGATGTTGCAACAGACGTTCCGTGCATTCAATAGATTTGCGGCAAATGTCCTGAATTCAATAGACAGAATATCCTGTCCAACTTTATGTTATACAAAAAAAACACTTGATCGAAGTAGTAGAGAAACTGTAGAGAGTTGCTTCCAGAACGAATGGGTTCATTGTTGCATGTCGACGTTCAAGAAAGCATCTTCAAAGATGGATAGTCGCCAGCAGAAGCATCAAAAGCAATTTGCTTGTGCGCAGTTTGGGATCTAGCCACCTGTTATCCATTTGATGAATATCACATATCTTCGCTTTTCAGAGCGGTGGTCAGTTGCGGCGAGGCCTAAGACCTACTGAGATGCCACGATTGCTGAAATAAAAACTTTCAAAATTAGTTAATGTTTCTTCGTGCATGAAAGCAGTCCTCGAATGATTTCGAAGCCCAAACATTCAAGTGCTTTTGAGACCAAAACCCAAGGCTCTTTAATTGTTATCATTGAACAATATGATAAGTCTCTTGAAGGTAACTGTATGAAGCATACTCACAAAAACAACGACCTCCATCTCTTTCCTGAGGAGCACGAGTTCCAAATCTGCGGCAAGAAGAAGTGTTGAACTTCGATACAATGATTTTGTTCCACCCAGGCCTAGCTTTCAACTTATCAACCGGAGCAGCACCAACTGTGCCTCGCATCAGTCGTCCGTTTCTATCGTACATACAAGTATTCATAAACTTGAATGTAATCAATATCTCTTTCTGATTCTTAATTCCCTAGAACAATCTGCTGGATCAATAAAGAATAGATATCACGATGCATCACGAAATATTCAACTGCGACAGCAGAACGTTCACAACACTGTCATGAGCCTTCAATTTGTGATGACCTCTGGACCACCATTTACACTGCACGAATCAAGTATTTCTTATTCCTGACAAAGCCGAACCTCTTCCCTTCCAGAATGAAGGATTAAACAAGACACTTCCAGCTACTTAAATTCCATTCCTCACGTTTGTGGAGCCAATCAGGGCGAGTAAGAGAGAGAGATGTCTACTTAATCATAAAATCACGCTCGTTTCTGGACACATTCATGGAAAGTTCAAGAAACAGCTCCTCAGCAACTCGTCACAAAATATCCGTCAAAAGTTTCTACGTCTTTCGACGACGAAGTAAAAGAGCAACACACACCGTGACAACAATCCAAAGGTCCTTTCTCTCTAGGACGATCTAATCAGCATTTACTTCAGAACAGGAACAACTCAAGTTCCAGCCAAAAACAGAGACGGAAAGCTTTGCCAACCGATAAAGCAATTCTGAAACTTCTGTCCGGGACGGCAATAAACGAGGTCCATTAACAAACACCACACTCATTCCCGCAGCGTTCATCGGCAGAGAAAGTGCATTGCTCGTTCTAATGTGTCCTTTGACGAGCACCACGACAGTCGAAGCTCAAAGGAAGGACTCGACGCCGAAATGCGTAGGGTTGCCTCGGAGCAAGTGAACAGTGAGAACAGCTCCTTCGAATCAAGCATTACGTATTTAACATACTTGCCAAGCATATTAACTAAATGAAATCAATCAACAAATGGATAAAAGCCTAGTTGATGATTTGAGTATAAGTCAATGAAGACAATGCAATATATTAATCTAAACATATAAATCAATCTAAACTAATCTGAACATATAAATCGAACTAATAAACTTAACTAACTAAATAAATAATATGTATGTATGTATATATATATATATATATATATATATGTTTGTGTACACATCAAATGTTTCAAAAACCAAAGTTATGTTATGTTTTGATTTTAGGTTACAATCAAATTGACCAATTATATTAATAAAAGATGAAAAGATCAAAATGAACCCTGGATATAGTATATTTATACATTAAATATTATGTATCTACATAATTTTGGATGGAATAAGTTTTTCAATGTTAAAAAAATGAAAGCACATGATTTTTATTTTGTGAATTACTTTAAGAATAAAAAAATTCTTACGTATTATCTTATATTTTAATTTTGGAAGTTGTGTAACAAAAAGAAAGATTAAAAAATGCCATAGATAAATTATTTGTAAAACAATAATCATTATTAGTAATCTGATTGATTTTTTTCTATTTTGATTTATTTTGCTCATATGTCATTATTTTATTAAAATTTATATTTTATTGATTTCAACAAAAAAAATACCACTATTATATGTAACTTTCATAAAAAATGATTTAACATGTATTATTTTGAATATATAGTATTTTTAGAAATTTAAATAAATGCACTTTTCTTCTATATATACATAATTTATTTCAACTTTTTTAGTTTTTTTTTGTATGAATAATAATAATTCCTCATATATTTTATATATATTTTTTTATTGGTTAAATTTAAATTAATAAAGAGTAAATAATAAATTTAATTAATTCTCACATAGACTAAATTTCTATAGATATAATTGATTGGATTTTTTTGAAATATTTTCCAACTAATGTGAAATCTTTTGAAAATTTAAGAATAAATGATAAATATAAATACAAACTATTGAGATCCATTAAGCAAGCTAATTGTTTTTTGAAACTTAATAATTTTTATAAGATAATATATATATATATATATATATATATATATATATATAAAATTAAAAATATTATATATTTTTTAAATAAATATTTATTTTATATAAATATAATATTTTTTATATGACACTAACCTAAGAATATATATATATATATATATATATATATATTAGACTTTAGAATAAAAATATACAATACTTTATTTTATAGGTCCTCTTAGCTATTGATAGTATTTCATACTAGGATAAGAAGACCAGCTTGTTCTTTGATCATAGTTGAGGCTTTTGTAACTTCTTTCAAATAAAATATTTGGAACACTATCATGAGTCGTTTCTACATCTAATAAAATCACCAAATATTAGAAGTCTCTTCTAAGGTTGTGATATCAAATGTATTGTATTTTTCCATCTATTTGAAGAAAAATATGTCATTCTTAAAGATCTTCATTTTCATTATGTTGTCATAAATACTGTGATATTTGTAATGTCTTGTCTAATAAATCAATAAATGATAGCTCTTGAGTTGAATCTATTGGTTGTTTCTTCTCCATCTTCTTAGTGCTATAAATACACAAAAATTATAAATAAAGATAAAAAGTAGAATGCTATTTCTCTCAATCTTATTTTTTTTATAACAAAGATTTGTTATTCTTTATCTTGATTTTAATAAATATCATCAATGAAAAACATCAACCTTCTTTGTTGTATTTGCAAGATTCTTTGCTAGTTCTTATGAGCATTCACTATTATCATATCTTTACTGATAAGCAAGATATTTCAACCTATTTTGGCACCAAGTTGAATGTGAGACTTCTTCTACTTCAAATTCTTGATTATTATCAATTTCTATAAGGAGATGTAAAATTTGTCTTTTTCTTAAGATATTCACTATCTTATATAATTCAAGAAGAGAGACGTATAATATGGGATGGATTTTCATAGAATTTGATAAATGTAATCAATAAGCAATTAGATTGATTTATTTACAAATAAAAAATAATTTAAGCTATTAATAATCTAATTTGTCACAAAAGTGGCTAGTCTTGATATTATGACAAAGTAACCATATCTTATTATCAATGTGAAATTGAAATTGATCCTTATAATAGACATCCACATTGGTCTTTTGTCATTCTTGAGCTTCTTTTAATTATGCCTACATTGTTGTATGTAACTTAGATAAATTATTTCTCAAATCTTCTAGTACATGATTATTACTTTTTGCAAAGTCAAAGCATTAAGTTATGGATAATAATCATAATTAGCAAAAAAGAATGTTTATTGCATAGAAAAATATATTATATTATAATAAAAAAGCTTTGCTAATGGCAAAAGAGTTGTCTAATTATCTTATTGATAGTTGATGGTACACCTCAAACACTACTCCAAAATTTGATTTATTTACTTGATTTATCCATCAATTTTAAAATGAAGAGCAAAAGATAATTTTATATCCACTTTTAAAATCTTGAAAAGAACTCTCTAAAATCTTGATACAAATTGAATCCTCTTATCTAATATAATATCCTTGGATAATCCATGATAGTAATAGATGTTGTCAAAGAAAAGCTTAGTTGTTTCTTCATTTGTGGTAGATTTTATATATAGTACAAAATATGCCATCTTGACAAAATATTCTATTGTCATGAATATAGAATCATAAGAAGATGAGATTAAAAGATCTATGATAAAATTCATAGTAACAGAAGACTATGATTGTTTTGGA